GAAGGGGAGAGCATTTCTCTACAGACCAGCCTGCCACCACAGCCAGGCTAACATTCCATCAGTACTGACACTGGCCAGGGCCAACATTTTGTACGGAATATATAGTACTTTGTTTTATACCGTACCCTGATCCCATACCCGCCCCCCCCAGCAGCCTTAAGATACAAGCATTATTTTTCTTCACCTTTTACACATTGGAAAACTGAGGTTCAGTAATGTTAAGCAACTTGCCTAAAATCACAAGACTAAAAAGTTGCCAAGATGGTGGTGGGTTCTGCCAACTTGTAAGCTCCAGTCCACCGGCTGGTGTTCATTCTATGCCCGAGGTTTACTCCATGTCCTGCACTATGCAGAGTGCCAGAGACAGAAGAGGTCCTTGCCCTTGGGGGGACTGGGAGTCTTTTATCAAAATGGAGGGCTAGATTTAATGCCACTTCCTCCAGGCAGCCTTCCCTGACTACCCTTTTTTTTTCCCCCTCTGATACCTTTGGACACTCATAACTGACACTGCCCTACTGTTATTAACGAAATGAACAATACCTTTTATGGAGCACTTACTATGTTCTGGTCTCTCTAGAAAAACCCTTTACATGGGTTATCTCATTTAATCCTTATAAGAAATCTATGAGAAAGATTTGATCAGCTTGGCCAAGGTCCCATCTATCACCACCATTTTATTATCCCCCCATTTTACAGATGAGGAAACCAAGGCATAAGGAACTTAATTGATGCTGAAAGTCTCAGATAAAAAGCAGCAGAGCTGGGCATCTGTCGGATAGCTCCCTGAAGGTGAAGACCGTTCTTCCCTGATTTCCCTCCTGGCTCCTAGCTTCGCTCTGGGCACACCCAAGAGCTCAAAACTCCTTGCTGCCTGATCGTCTCTCCCCTCGTTGGAAAGTGATGATCAAACAAGATTTGGGGGTGGGGATGTGGAGGGAATCCCACACATCAGTTGGAACTTCTTACAGCTCTGGCTCTCAGTTAATGTGAGAGTAGGAGCCGTATCAAAAAGAAAAAATCCTTAGGGAATTCTTCATATCTATTTTTTCTCTTGCCCCGCCTGGGTCCTGGTGCATAATAGGGTCCAATACATCTGTGTTGAATGACTGAATGAGCTTTAAAAATTCTAAAGAGACTTGATGCTGTTGCTACGGCCGCTGCTTTGCTTGCCTACCCCAGCCCCGTCTCCTACAGATGCTTGAGGTGCTGTCGGTCTGTCTCAGGGCAGGAGGAATAGTCTCGGCGACCCTAGGAGCTTGCCTGCCTGCCCTTCTATCTCAGGTGATTTATCATCCTAAAAACCTCACATAAGCTGTTTATGGCATCCATAACCTGCCTGGAGCTTTTAAACCTCTTTCTCACATGGCTTTTTATGAGTTGAGATAAACAAACAACTCTCTCTCTTTCTCTCTCTCTCTCTCTCTCTCTCTCTCTCTCTCTCTCTCTCTCCAGGGACTTGGGGGCCTGAATCCTTAACCTCACTCTCAGCCGGTGGCCCCCAAGGGAGCTGAACCAGAGCATGGGCCCCAGAAGACCATGGTTAAACGTGTCATGTGCAGGAAGCAGATAACATCATTGTTGCTTAGAGGAAAACTGCAGCAGAGACCTTGAAGCAAAGATGGGCTGCAGGGCGTGGATGCCAGAGTCCCCAAGGCAGCCTTTGCTAGGATTGGGAAGCTTTGTTTAGACACTGAGGAAGAGTTCTGAGGACATGACATGATGATCTTGGGGACCATCTCATCCAGTCCATCATTTGGCATTAAAGAAACCAAAGTCCTTGGAGGGGAATGACTTGCCTAAGGTCATGTAGCATCAAAGTGGCCCCATGGAATAGATTATGGTGCCTGCCTCCCCTATATTTATTCCCTCCTTCCCATAAGACCCTGATCCCTATAGAACATCCAGAAGGTTGCAGGGATACTGGCTGCTCCCCAGTGCCACCGGTGGTGATAGATGGGACCTTGGCCAAGCCGATCAGCGCATTCTATGTTCCTGGCTACCCTGCTTGGTTAGGGGCGACCAGCATGTCTGCACCTTTGAGGAGAATGCTGGGAAATACAGACCCTCCTTCCTGTGGGCTAGAAACAAACAGGATACAAGTAGTCTCAGCAACTGAGGCCAGGTTGTGACACGAAGAGAGAGCCTCAGAATGAAACAGACCCCTTGAAAGGCAGAGAGCAGAGATGGAAAGAAAAGGAATTCGAAGTCAGAGTTCCAAGTTGCTGGATCAGACCTCACCTGATGTCTTTACTCGGAAATATTCAGTTACATGATCCAGTAAACTCTATTTTTAAGACAGAATAGAGGTTTTATTCCTTATAACCAAAATATTCCCAAGTGATAAACAGATGACAGAAGGCCAAAGAGCTTGTCTCTGTTCTATTTAACTCCTGGTTATGTGGGCTGAGCCCAAAGGGAATTCCCCTATTCCTGTCCACATGTCTGGCCAGGCTGTAGATACCCTGAAGGCTGAGTCTAATCTGCAGTTTAGAATCCCCACTAGCTGACAGTTTATACTCTCAGTCCAGGGAAGTGGGTTGGCTTGTTATGTGGGTCCAGAAGGTATTTTCTAGGTGATCCCCACCACCCCACCCTCATGAACCAATAGCACTTTGTGCACATCTCTAAAGTGACACTGACCTCATGGCTCTTTAATGACCAACATCTACATCTGGATCCCCTTTGGACCCCAAGCTTGCTGAAGGGGAGACTGAGGCTTACTCACCTTGGGTCCCTGCACTTGGGCCCAGTGTGAGACTCAAGTCTGATATGCATGGATTCTTTTTTTTTTCTTTTTTTCTTTTTTATTTTATTTTTTTAAGATTTTATTTATTTATTCATGAGAGAGAGAGAGAGGCAGAGGGAGAAGCAGGCTCCCAAGGAGCAGGGAGCCCGATGCGGGGCTCGATCCCAGGACCCCGGGATCCTGACCTGAGCCAAAGGCAGACACTTAACGACTGAGCCACCCAGGCGCCCTGCATGGATTCTTGATGAGTGGGTGAAACCATCTCTTTCCCCTCTCTGCCTCCTCCTCTGATGGATCCTGTTTATTCCTCCACTTTCTTCTCTTTAAAAATCAGGATGAGGATTAAAAGCACAGCAGACGAGATGCAAGGCATTCACCCCTCACCCCCCACCCCGGAGTCCCTCATTTACAAGCTGGGGATTTGATCTGCTATTCTATTCTCATAGTGCTAAGTCCTGTCTGGGACACCCCCCCCCCCCGTCCGTACGTGGTGTGTTCAGGGTGGCTGTGTATAAAGCCCTGAGCGAGAGGACGAGGGAGAGAAAGACTGGAAAGACTGAGTCAGAGAAGGCTGGGGATGAAACTTGAGTCCATTGGGATGGTCAGTCTGAGCTCTCTTTGACAGAGAAGGAAGCTCCGGCCCAGGGAGGAGTCCTCCTGGCTCAAGGTCACTGGGACAGTCCAGCCCAGATGGGAAAGAACTCCACTTTGCAAAGCAAGACCCATTCTCCCAGGAGCTGAACCCTGCATGGTCAGGAAGGCAGGCTTCAGGATGGATTGGAAGAAAGACCTAGATGAAAGCTCAGGGGCCAGACTTTGGACCTTGAAGCCATTGAACTCCACTGGGTCCCCCCTTACCACCTAAAGCACTTGCTTGCCAAGTGGGTTTGGAGTCTCTTGGCTTGCTCGTCCTTAGGGACCAGAGAAGTGACTCAGTGAAGCACTTAGTACATCGTTGGCTCTAGAGGGTGGGGTGTGACTCAGGAGTCACTCACAGAGACTCATCCATAGCCTCCTCCCTGCCCCTTCAAGCCAGGGATCCAGGGACCCGCTGCATGAGACCCTGTCCCGGTTCCGACACTCCTGATACGTTTCTCACGTCTCCACCTGCCCGGCAGTCTTTGTGCGGGTGGAATATACCTGCCTGCAAACTCCAGGGCGGGGAGCCCGCCCCACTCAGCTGCCTCGTGCTGGCGTCCCACAGGGAAGACAGGATCTCAGGACCCCCAGATCCTCCTGACCTCCCCTTGATTCGGAGCGTGCCCATCCTCACCCAAAGCTCCCCGGCTTTTCCGCCCTCACCCCTTTTCCCCGCCGTGGCAACTGTCCCCCTCTCCCCCACCCCACTCCTACTCTTGTCGTGGGGGGCGTGCGTCCTCTCCGCTCGCCCCCACCCCCTTCCTTTCCCTCCTCCTTTTTCCTCCCTCGCTCCGCCCCCAGGCCCCGCCCCTCGCCGCCTCGGCCCGCGCCCCCCCCCCCCACCCCCCCGCAAGCCCCCGGCCGGCCACCACCCCCTCCCCCCGCGGAGGGCTGTGGGGAGGGGAGCCCCGCGGGCCAGGCCCCCGCCCGCCCTGCGCGCCCCCTCCCCGAGCGCGCGCGCCCGGCGGCCCCCTCTGCGGCCTCCCGCTCCCCGCCTCCCCGCCTTCCCCTCCTCCTGGTGACGTCCGGGTCCCTGCCCGTCTGAAAACTCCGCGCCGCGGCGGTGGAGGCGGCGGCGGCGGCGGCGAAGGAGGAGGAGCAGCGGCGAGCCGAGGCGGCGGCGGCGGCGGCGGCCCGAGCGCGA